ATGAGAGGTTTTAATGTGTTTTTTTTTATTTTTTTTTTATCCCTAATTATGGGTAATTAGTTCTTCCGATTCTGATCGCATTATCGGATTAAAGGATATAATATTTCCAGGGATCGGGTAAGCGCGTAGGCTTTAATTAGAAGTGCAAAACGCAAGTGTAAATACGCGATACAAGAATATCGTCGCTCTAGCTATATACGTCAGCCATAATCTTCGTGCAGCTTCTATTAAAATATTTTTTTTTTTTTCCGCCTCTTTGAAACGTTCAATTAGCAGTTATACCGGCCTGGAAAATCATTGTACGATATCAACGTTCGATCCAAGCCTTTCCAACGGCTCTCATAATTGTTTATAATTGTTTGTTAGTGGTGAAGAATGTGGATCCGCGTTTAATCGAGGCTTCGAGTTGAACAACGAAACGCGTGACACGCCTATATATCCGAAATAATTATCAGTTATACTCTGTACATTCGTACGCCCAATAGCGACTTCCTGCCGCTATTTCCACTCACGGTAATCATGAAAGTATCCGTGTGATACACTTTTTTTTTTTATCACTTTTTTCCTCTTTCTTTCTTTTTTCTTTTTTTTTTTCTCTCCTCTTTTTTCTTTTACTTCTCTTCTCTCTCGGTTGTATTGCATGCAACATGGCTGCGGGCGAGCTCAGTTAAACGGAATTGCTAGGAATTGCTTGTCGACGATCGTATCATAATATCTCCATCGTTTATTTCTCTTTTTTTTCTTCCTTTTTTTTTTTTTTGGAGTAAACATGCCCGCTATTTCACTTTACGCTTTATGCAGATCCCTTTCGGTTCGTTTTACGATCCGAAGAATTGCAGAATTTTCTTCTCTCTCTCTCTCTCTCTCTCTCTCTTTCTTTCCTTTTTTTCCTTCGAGAGTAGAATTGGAAGTTTGGTATTGGACGAGGATGAGGTATGCGGCGAATCGAGGAGTGGAGGATTTATGGGATTGTGGAATTTACGTTGGAATATTTAATGATGTTTGTTGAATATGGAATTTTGGAAATTTGATAAATCGAAGTTTGTAGAATTTAATTATTTAAAAATTCTGTCTGTAATCGAGTTTTTTTTCAATTCAAACGTTTTGTTTGAGGAAATTTTTCAATTTATTCGAAACGATCGAATTGAAAATTAAAGAATTTCGTAATTCAACTCGAAGTTTCTTTTTGAAAACTGGACTTTGAAAGGCCGATAAAAGTATTCAAGATGTTTAGAACGTAAAAATTTATGATGAAAAATCAGTGAAAATTCAAAGAGTTTCGTAATCCCCTTCGTTCTTTGAAATCTTATTGTTGTACGTCATCAATCACAATTTAAGAACAAGAAGCGTGCATTATTGTTGACACTAAGATACTGTTCATATAATTATCGCGTGTACCGTGGATCCTTACAGTGTGTACACAGCAATAAATCATTTTTTTCTTTTTTTTTTTTCACAATATCACAACGCGTCCTGTTCCTGGTAGCCGAGAAAGAAACAAAAATTCTTCCACCGCCATTATCTTTGATTGATATCTCCAAACAACTCTCGCTAAGTTTCTTGCTACCATTATTCCATTCCCATTATACACTACTCAGAACGGTTAGAGAGACGTTTTTTACCAGGGGAAAAGTAATCAGTTGCCCCCATAATCCTTTTGGAACGATCCTCCTCACCATCGGTTGATTTCATCAGTTGTGTATTTTACTAGACGTCAACTCGTCCCTGATATAATACGTTTTCACTACTACTACTACTACTACTACTACTACTACTATCCCTTCCTCCAATTTTTCATTCCTATATCCCACATGGATTCTTACATTATTCAGATTTATTCAAATTCTTCTTATCACGCGTCTTGCGTAATAATTATTCCTCTTCAGATTTCATTCAAGATTTTTGAATTTCTCTAAAAATTCATCGAAATCAATTCATAGAAAGATCACATCTAATTCTATCGAATTATCGAATTATCTCTTTAATTCTCTGTTCATTGTAGAAAATATAGAGATTCAAAGTCGAAACTACTCCCTTTTCTAAAAAAAAAAAAAAAAATTCACGAAAAAGAAACAAAGATATCTCTCTTTCTTCCAAAGAAAAAATGGAATAAAAAAAAAAAAGAAGAAAAAATTAGAATTGGAAGTCCCGACGAATTCTATTAAGTGGTCCCCGACGATTACTTGGACAATGAATAGCACGATCCTCGAACGAGCATTCTTCCCTTCGTCCCAAGTATCAGGTATACGTGAAATCCGGCGAGTCATCGTACGCAGCAAAATCTTCTTCCTCCTTCTCCTCCTCCACCTTCTCCTCCTTCATTTCTCCTTGGTTCGTGGCACAAGTGGCTACACGAATGGATGTACGTACGTACGTACGTTTCGCCTTTCCGAAAGGAATGTTCGAACACGATGGGATTCTCATCGTTGGATGGAAAATTTTGTCTCTCTTTTCTCTCTCCCTCTTTCTCTCTCCTTTCCTCGATCGTATTATATAAAAGAAAATTCTTTATGAATTTTTAATTAAATTTCTTTTCAATTAAATTTAACTTTGAAAAGAGATTTGATTTATCGCGTTTTAACCAAGTGTGTTCGGGTTAGAAAAAAATCCAAATAAATTTGCGTTATGTTAGATATCATAACCGATGCTAGTAAACGGTTTAACGCCTGTTTGTTTGCATTTGCCTCTTATTTTTATGGGCAATAAAATGCTACGTGCGCAAGCCAGTAGTAATAAATCATTGTAATTAATGCGAGCTTGGAAAAAAACAATAATCGAATTATCTGAATCCTTAAACGGAAAATTAACTTAAAGAATGTAAATAATTGAATGGGCGTGATAAGAACGATTAATTTACAAAAAAAAAAAAAAAAGAAAAAAGAAGAAGAAGAAGAAAAAGAAACGTACATAGGTACATTTCTAAAACATTCTGGCATTAGAGGCAAAACAAAATCGCTGTATTTACATTTTATTTAATTTATCCATAAATTTTCAGACACGATCGTGAATCGTGACGATTGCAAATCGAGGAAAAAGGTTCATCAAATTTTTCGATCGTTAACGCAACTTCGATTTTGTTATTCGAAACAGAAGAATGAAAAGAAGGGAGGGGAAAAAAGAGAAATGTCGAATTCTCGAGACGCAACGACTCGAATTCCATCCCATTACACGTGAATCGTGTAACCGTGTTCACGGACAAGATCAAGCGTAATAATTCCACGCTGGGATTTGGGGGATAAGGTGGCTGGAAGGAGGGCGCCCGTTAGATAGAACTTGGGGCGAGCCTAAGTTTACGCGCGATGATCTTTCCCATTGTGGGACAACGCCACGCAAATAACGGCCTCCTTTTCGTCCTCCTACAGAGTTTCACTTTTAAGCAACAGGTATATTATTGTCAGGTTAAAAACCTGCGGCCAGGTGACAGTGAAGATCTTTTCTCGGGCTTCTTTGGACGAGGAGTGGCCCCACGTCCGGGCCGAACGATATACACATCACCTTAAACCCCGATAAGCCATTGGAATTCGTTTAGAAATGGGGTCCTGGACTGACGTCATATCGATCCTGGATCTACAAGTCCTTGTAGTATTTTTATTTTGAACCGTCTTCCGCTCTTTATCTTCATCCGCTCCTCGGTTAATGGAAATTTAATATCGAGAATTGGTTTTTGCACTTTTTATTTAATACGATACGATTGCCATTTTGCGAATCGAGATCCATGAAAATGATTTTTCTTTTTTTTTTTTTGTTAAAATTATATCACAAACTGAATTTAGTGGGAGGAAGAAACAAAAAGTCTTAAGTAATCGAAATATTAAAAATTCCTCGACACACCGCGAGCGGTCCATACATCTTCCTACGCACGTTCGAGAAATAATTCTCAGAGGACCGAAAATTCTTTGTGAAAGCGGCGATCTATGACGCACCTTTTCTCGCACCAAGAGAAGGACCCGAGAAGCTTCTTCTTCGTAAAAGCAAACAACAGCGTGACTAGCAGGGGTCAACGTATCTTTAGGAGCGTTTTACTCTCTTCCAACACGAGATTTCCTACCAAAATCGATCTGTCTGCCGTGGCTAGCCAACACCTATATAGCCACAAGAAGATAAAATAAACAGAGAAAGAAACGTGAACACGAATTAACCGCATCGATGGAAACCAATAAATAAAACGATATTTTTCTATTGATTGTATTTTTTTTTTTTTTTTTTCCAATCAAAATCAATCGTCCACCGACCAAGTCAATAATAAACGCAAAACGTGATCGTGAATACAAATTAACCAGCTATTTAATCGAATACCAGCTATATTAATCGAATCAAGAAGAGAGAGAGAGAGAGAGAGAGAGAGAGAGAAACGATATTTTTCCATCGATTGATTTTTTTCAAATCGAAAGATATCGACGAAGTATGTATCCTTCTTGGTCCCTCGTCCATCATTGGACGTTTCAGGGTCGTCTTCCAGAAGTTCCAGCGCTGGAAACAACGCAACCTGGCAATAATCTCGTCGGGTCCGCCATTCTCGTTATTTCACGCAACGGGTGGTACACCGACGAAACGGTAGAAGGAGAGAGAGAGGGGAAGGAGGGGGAAAGGGGGAGCCAGCGAGGAAAGAGAAAGGGAGGAAGGTCAAACGATGACCCACACACGAGAAGAAACCCGTGAACCAGTGTTCCATCGCATTCCGTGAATTGTCGAAATCGAAGGGGGCGTGGATGGTTCATCGTTAAATCACGAACGCATATTCCATCGAATACCACTACTCGCGTTTGAACGATATTTACACCCAGATCCGGATTTACGACGCGTCAATAATAATCTCGTCTTATCGAGATTTCCTCCTCCAGCTTGTTTCATTCCTTAAATGCAGGCAGAGAGCAAATTCTTTTTTAAATCGTGGACATTGAATTTTTGAAACGAACGAATATTCGATCGATTCGATACTTGTGCGCGATTGATAATTAATTTTAAAATTGTATTACAGGAATAAAGAAATAATGACTAACCGGGGATAGAGCCTCCTGCATGTGCAGGGGTGCGTTGTCGGCCTCGTCGGTGCAAGTCGACATTCTCCCTCGCAGTCTTCCGCTTCTCTTTCCAGTTCGTCTAATAGTGGCGTTTCTTTCTATCGACGTGGTGTACTCCACCGAGCCTCCCACTCCTCTTCCACTTTCTTCTTCGACTAAATTCTCGTCTAATATCGTCTACGTGATGAGCGAACGGATTCTAGGCATAGGTATCACAGTCTTCTGCTGAGCGTTGTATGGCACTTGATTGAAACTTGATTGAAGAGAGGTGCACAGGCAGATCGGGATCTGAAAATCAACAAAAACGAGAAAAAAGAGATAAATAACCCTTTAATTCCTCCGATTTTTTTCCAAAAAATTTATCAATAATTAAAATAAAAACGCAAGGAGACAAAAATGTAGTACGAAATTGTCAAATTTTATTCTTTTTTAGAAAATTGCTCTCATATCGTTTTGAGCATAAAACTCTCGGCTAGAGAATCACGCTAATTATTTTTCACGAGGATACGAATGTGCACAAGTTTGAATAGTGTAAAACTCTCAACAGTTGTTCTCTCTCGACCGAGTATCTCTCTTGCGAACGAACCGCAGAGATATAAAAATTAACAATTATTCGAGAGCAACTTTCACTCTCGATAAGCTATTCATTCTATTCGCCCCCCCCCAAGAGGAGGATTAAATCTAATCTCGAATCCTACTACTCTTCGCGTCGTTCCATCGCGTTTACGATTACGCAACCGTGCAATCAGTGGGACCAGCTGGTTCGCCTCTCCTCTCCATTCATTTCAACCGGCTACAAGCACGTCAAACTGGAAACGGTTTCGCGGTCGCGGCTCTGATAGACAGGTGTAATAAACCGGCGTCGAAGACAGACGGTCGGGCAGGCAACAACAACCAATCAGGTAGACGAGAGTGAAAAGGCTCCCGTCTGGTCTGGAACACGTTCCTTTCGGGTAAAGAGTCCCGTTCCCTAAACGTCGACCGCGAGAACAAGCCGAACTGGCGGTTAAACCACCATCCACAACGACGACGACAACAACAGCAGCAACAACACGATTGAATCGAGCTGTGGAACCGGCCTCGACTCGCTATCGAGAAGCAAGGAAAAGAAGAAAGAAGGTAGACAGAAGAAGAAGAAGAAGAGGAGGAGGAGGAGGAAGAAGAAGAAGAAGTCGGTCAGAACAGGAAGCTGGAGCCGCATTTTTGCCCTGGCAAGTCAGGTTGTTGTGACGTCCAGGCGGAAGAACGAGATCGGTCGGAATCAGGAAGGCCATCGGGGGTATCCGCGGATCCGAAGCGGAGAGAGAGCCGGATTCGAGGCGGAATAGCAGGTTCGATGGCTCGGTTGATTCAGTTATCACGTGCACGGGAATCCGTGGATGTTGGCCAAACCAGTCGGACACCACGAATTCCACGTCTTCGGGCCCTTGCGCCGTCGTCGCCTCGTCCACCAGGTGGACAGTCGTCGGTAAAACCAGTTGGGTTCCCTCTTCTCCCGGCTCGTTCGTCTCCTCCTACTACTACCGGCGCGTGTGGCAGCCGGCAAAGGAAGGAGGGCAGGCCGCGTTGAAACTGGAATTCGACCGACCGACAGATAGACAGACGACAGGTGTCTGATAATGGACGTGGAACGACGAGGAAATCGGGGAAAAGTCGGCGCCACCCGATCGGTCTCTCAATTTCTCCAAAAGTTGGATCGAGGGAGAGGAAGAGGACCGGAAGGGCGCGAAGGTGATGAGGAGGCGAGGAGGCGAGGAAGAGGAGCCGTGGTGGAACGAAGACAGGGTGGCGGGAAGTAGGTAGGTTGGTTGCCTACCTACTACGCGGAAGAAGGAGATTGGGGCGACCGGGGAGAAGGAGTAGGTACACGAAGCCGGTATACAACCGCGGGCCGGAGACGAGAAGCCAGAGGAGCAGGTTCGGCCGGTCTAACCTGATTCTCAAAGGGAACCCTGCATCAGATTGGACCCACCTCCGTGGGTCCGTTTGTATTTCAAGTACCTGTACTCCCTCGCTTCGCGTCAGTGGACGATGCCTTCGGAGACGGAGGACTCGACGAGGCTACGCCAAGAGGAACGAGGAGCTCCTCCGCGAGAGGTGGAACCGCGCCGGCGAGTTGGGAATCCCTACGCGTGATTCGATCGTGTGCCATTTATAATCGACTCGATTTATGCTCGTTCGTAAGAAAAGTGATATCGTTCGATGATTCAGTGAGACTCGATGATGCGGTGTGACTCGATATCGATTCGATGAGAGAGAGAGAGAGAGAGATAAGGAGAAAGAGGTAGTCGTCTCGAAAAGGACCTGGCCTATCTTCCTCCATTTCTCGAATGGATCCAATAAGAAGGTGAGATAAGAAGGGAAGCTTCGAGATGTTTTGCCAAGTCGAACGCATCTC